TATATATATATATATATATTCAACAGGATGCAATGGCGAAGAAAATATTAACGCATGGCACATCAGAGATCTAGGATGCTGTTTTCGATGATGATGGGTTGGCATTTTGCACGCAGACAAAAATACTTCCGATCAAGGTGCCATAAACAGCTAGCTTCCACAACGATTATATCCTTCAGAGATTCAATATGGGGTATCAAAATGGCAATATTAATAAATACTGCCGAAAGTCAACCGGCCCCAGGTAAAGTTACAGTACATGCCTATAACGAGCAGGCACCCGGCAAGATGTTGTTGTAAAAGCAGTACAAGAGCTTGTGTCAGGCACTGCTGTCATATAAGATGTACATATCCTGCACTAGTACATGTAGAGGTAGATTCTGTATTATATGCTGAATTGGTCACTCGTTATTGTAAAAGGAATTATCGCAACAAGGATAATAGTTTATGGGCTTAGTTAGAACACGGTGCAACAGTGTTGTGATTGGTACATGTAAAGTGTAAACACAGCAGACAAAGTATCAGTCAATAAGGCTCTAACGCGCTTGTTGGCAGACGTAGGAAATGATTGGGGTGTTCGTTACGCTACACTTTTAGAAAATGTAAAAAGGAATGCAGCAAGGGGAAATCTGCGATAGATCCTAAGACGTGTAACATTACCAATTGCAAGCAGTGTAATAGATGCGATAGCTACTTCCAAACTAAACGAGCCAGAGACCGGTGTGAACACAGCAGTGGACAAAACGGCTGATTGCACGATTCGACAACCTGCAATAGTTCGCCTGCCTTCTACCCCGTCTATAATTTGGACAGCCCCTGAAGTGCTTCCGAGCCCACACCAACACCGCGTAGCTTTGCACCTATTTTAGATAACGCAGACACCAACACTAAACATGTAGATACTTCTAATACACTGCCGCCTAAGTAGAAACGATAAACAGCACATAAACAAAAACAGTGTACTGTAGAAGTGTGTGGTACAATACGAGTGTTCAAAAGTATCGCAAGCTATAAGATGTGTGCACAGTTTGGATAGGATCCTACAAAATACATAGAATATAGTTGTAAATAAAAAATCGCATATTACACATGAATGTCTGAATGAAATTTATTCTACGACTAGTGTATGTTAATCTAAAACTCTGAGCTTCTTTGCTGACCAGTCGATGTCATCCGAAGTTGCAATACGATTACTTACTGGCCGCTAAGTCGCTTTAATACCAAGCCCAGTTGTATCATTTCCTTGTCGGTTCTTCTTGCTTGGTGCCCTTGTGCGTTTACACTTGCGTTTGTTTCATATGCTTCAATATTGCCACGTCTTCTGGTAAGTTCTTTTGCCAGTCAACCACCTATCCAATACACTAAATCCAACAGTTATTTTTCTCCAATGCCAATTTAAGGCTGCAACTACACTAGTATCATTTATACTGATGTCTTTGTTTTCATTGTCACGCCATGTAGTCAATATTTTATTGTAACGCATGTGCATGACCATCGTTTTGCGATTGTACACCTTTAACTTTGTGCTGGTTTTTCGTGATGGGTAGTGGTGTTCTATACGGTAAATTAAACTTTTCTTCACTCTTGTATACGATGTTTACAGTTTGTGTAGCAGGCGATGTACTTCCAAAGAAGTAGAATATTCTAGAAAATACTATATCAGTTGCATAATCATTAACATTTAGTATCCAACCGTTACTACCTTCTCCCCTAGTTGATTTACTTTCGAGATAGTAGAGGTTATATCGCGCAACATACGGTAATACTTACGGGCAATTAATGTACGGCCGCCGAGAACTGAGAGTCCGAATAAAGCCGCTATATCTATGTCACCTTGTGCTCGCCCCTTGCCTTTTGAAGCAAATTTTACTATTATAATGATGTCGGTGTCAGCTGCAGTAGAAGGTTTTTCTTTTGAGTTTAGTACTTGTTATTTCAACAGTCTTTATATTCTCTCTAATACTTTGTTCAGACCTCTTGCAACCTTTGTCCGTGGCTTCACTTATAGGTGCGATCGTACTTTTAATGTTTTCTTTCACATTGTTTGCTGTTTTTGTGTTAGATGCTTCGTTCAATAACTTTCAACTCGATCTTTTGTAGATCTAGAACCACCTACTTTGAATATTGACTATACTGTCACCAAGCTTTTATAAGCCATGACAGTACTCCTCATCTGGACCGCTTGATGGACTTTGTTGACCAAAGTTCATGGCACTTAATCGAGCCCCGCTTGTCGAACGATACTTCCCCGAAAGAATGGTTCTTTGGAGTCATTACTGAGTTTGGTTTTTCTTAAAACCAGGCCATGGTCTCCGACTTTATGGCTTGAGTCAAGAGAGTAAAGTCTGTGACCGCAACAACCCTTTCAATCGTGTTCATCACGTTTGCGATGTCGGCTACATAGACCCGCGTATTTTGGTGAACAAGAGCTGGTGCCTCCTCCAGGAAATTGAGACTTTAGACAAAAAATCCAATATTTCTGTACTCCGTATCAAACTCTTGAGCTCTGGGTGGTTTCCGTAGCTCAATGTCAGTGCCTGAGTGCACGCATTCTCTACATCTTCCAGCAACGTATCCGGGATTTTCTATCCAAGATAATCCTATAGAAGTTAGCCAGTGCCACACCAGTCCTTCCAAGACATCGAGGACATCCTGGAAGACATGCGTGAAATGTTATGCAGCGACCAAATATCTACAAGAGCTACTCCCACATTTACCCTTTCAGCCAGTGTCACACCAGTCCTTCCAAGACATCGAGGACATCCTAGAAGACATGCGTGAAATGTTATGCAGCGACCAAATATATTCAAGAGCTATTCCCCTATTTACCCTTTCAGCCAGTGTCACGCCAGTCCTTCCAAGACATCGAGGACATCCTCGAAAGGAGCGCGGTGGCCTGGTGCTGCGCTTTTGCCGTGGCACCTTCACTTT